CTTGGTCAGGATAACACTCAACATCTTAAGGACACCTCCCAGACTGGGAGATCCTCACAGCTTCCATACCCCTAGGCCCTCAGGCCTGGGGCCTAGATTAGTGAATCACAGAGACAGCCTCTCATGGTGGAGACCCTGGAGCGAAGAGAGTGTGCCAGGAAGTGCCTCAGATATTTAAAAGCTCTCCCACCATGCACAGCAGGCTCCCCAGACCTACTGCTTGGCCAGGCATTAAACATCCTTACTGTGGAGTGTTATCTCTAGCACACTCTTCTGGTGGACACCCAACACAGCATGTGACTAAGAAAAATTACCGCAAACTTAGAGAACACTAACCAGCGCAGCTAAACTGACTAATTTACACTAACTGATCACAAAAGCATAGGAGGAGAATTTGCGAAAATTCTAGATCCCTACACACATTTCCTCAGCCGTCAGCACCTGGACGCTGGGGAATGGTCTCTTCACCAAGAGGTGTTACAATATCTCTGTCACATGTGGAGGACACCAGATGTGGATCTCCTGGCCTCCAAATTCAACAACAAACTGAGAATGTTTGTATCCAGATTCAGAAATTCTCTGGCAGTGGCAGTGGATGCTCTAATAGTTCCATGGGATTAGTACAACCTGATCTATGCCTTTTCTGCTCTGAAACCCCTTTCTCATCTGCACCGCAGGATTGAGATGGAGGGGATTCCAGTAATTCTTATCAAACTGAACTGGCCCAGGAGGATGTGGTACACCAACCTCATCAGACTGCTGGCAGACACCCATGAGTTCTTCCAGATGAATCTAGATCTTCTGCCCCAGGGGTTGGTTTACCACCCTGCTTACAGTCGCTGGCTTTGATAGCATGGTTGTTGAAGCCCAGCTCCTAAGAGATATAAGTCTTTCTGTTTCAGGCTATTCTATGCTATTTGAAGGCACATAGCTGATTACATTCAATGTCCCAGTTCAGGGTCTATTGTTGTAAAAATGCAGAATGATGTCATTTCTAATGTCAAATTAATTTGTTCCCGTCCTGGTTTTTGAGGTTTTTTTTGTCAAATATGAATGTAATTAACATCTTCATAACACTAATGAATTGAATTAATTTACACATGGATCATCATCATGTCCAATTAGAGGCAAAGAATTTGCTAAGCCCATCAACCTTTTTAAATGTTTTTGTCTGTTACACTTATTAGTATGTTAAAGCAAAATACACTTTAAATAAAATTCTTCAGTACATGAAATAATGTCACTCATATGTTACATAGACTCTATACCTGCAGGGGCAAAGCATTATTTGGTCAGCATGATCCTTATTGATGTAAATAGAAACACCTCTTGACTTACATTGGAGTTATTTTCCTCAGACAGATATGAAAGTACATTTTTACTTAAAGTGTATGGCTGGGGGGAAAAAAATAACTTCAATATGTTTTGACTCTTTAAAAATGCTGCAAGTACAGAAAATAATATGTCGATCCTCACATAAATTCAGTATGCTCCTAACCTTTTGTAGTGGGCTTACAATGCTGCCAGGAAATTGGAAACAGTGTTATAAGTTCTGTTGAACTACAAATCACCTCTTCCAAATGTTATGGAGATGAGGAGGGGGGGGGGGCGTGTTCTGTAGTTCAGCAGAGAAGCACTAGGCAGAGTTTAAAACACTTCTTGAAATTTCAGTTCAGCAGAGGCAGCTCACTACAGGAAATTTGAAGCTGTCTAGATTTCTGACAGATCAACAGGTATTTTTAAAGTGATAAAACATGGTGAATGTGCATGTACTGCATATTTTCTTTATTTTGACCAGACAGTACAAACATAGTACCAAGGAGCACAGCTATTTGGGTTAAAGGAAACATATAGTTTTAGTATCTTCTTTTTATTATGTTCAGGGCTAAAAATTCACCTATTAAACATTATTGTCATGTTTATTTGACATGTTGCATGGCTGTATCATATTTCAATTTTCATGCAGCGAGTTAAGCATTATGCTACTTCACATGTGTACCTCTCTATTCTTAGCCTGTTTACAGAGCTCAGAAGCTCAAGATTAAATTTACACATGTAAGTGAATGAGCCGGGTGAATGACTCATCCCGCTCCTCCCCCCTCTGTACCTTCTCTGTTCATAATACGTTCAAGAAATTTGAAACATAGAGAGAGAGTCTGAAAGAAAACAGCTTCTGCTATGTTCACTCATTCCAAAACCCGAATTGCTGTGTGAGTTAGTGTCAGTGGTGCACCCTGTGTTAAGTAATGTTAATAAAATAAACATTCTGTTTAAAGTATAATACTCTACCTCCATTAAAAAGGAGATTTATTTGACATGCTGCTGTTTTCTTGTAGAGCAATCGAACACAACACAGCACTTCCCAGGGACCAGCCTCAAGTTGCATCTATCATTTAACTTCACTCACACTATGAAATAGGGTTGCCACCTTTTCTTCAAGCGAAACCCGAACACTCTAGCGACGCGCAGACATTTTTGTGGGAGAATGAGTCGCAGCTTATTCATGTGTAAATAGTGCCACCCATTCATATGTAAATATCACAGTCGAGACTATTTTCAGTGGGGGGCTAGTAGCCCCTCTCTTAATTTTGGTTGCCCCTGTCTGCTGCCATGAAACCCGGACACAGCATTCAAAGCCCGGACTGTCCGGGTCAATCCTGGACAGGTGGCAACCCTACTATGAAACCATCCAAATCCTCAAACGATGCAAAGAACCGTGCCATGTTATTAAACAATTCGAAGCATACCATGGAGCCAGACTGTAGAACCTCAGGAAAGGGTTCATAAAACTCCGGAATTCTGTGGATTCTTGTCAACTAGGCCGGGAGACACTGAAACTGTGGTATAATGACTACTGCTTTACTGAAGAAATGTATTTATTTTATATATTTATTTATATAGCACCAACATATTCTTAAGCAGTTTACAAAGAACGCTGGACCATACACATCCATCCTTGCCCAAAAGAGCTTACAATCTATTGTCTGTACCATATACATACACATATGTACATCAGAAGTCAATCAGTCTACTGGTATTGCTTTGGATTGTTGGTGGAAACTAGAGCACATAGAAGAAATGTACAGAAACACAGTAAGAACATTAACACTGTCTGTGGGTAGTGTCCTTCGTAGCAATCAAACCCAGCCACCAAGCACTGCAAGGCAAGTGCTAAGTACGAAGACACCACTATGAAATGACTAACATGCACCAAATAAATATCCAGCTCCCAGTGGACTTCATCTGTAACACAATGCTGCTGGAACTATCATACAACCGTATTATAAACTGATATCATACTACAAAGCTTAAGGTAGATGTAAACCCAATCTCTAACATCCCATGGTAAATTAACACGATAATGTCATTTTAAAAGTCATTTTCAATATTTTTCAATATTTTAACATCTGCAGCTTATATTAAAAGGAGAACAATGGGGTGAGTTAATTACACTCATCCCCATAGTTAGAGCCGACGTGTGACAATGAAACTGTCACACGTCGGCTGTGTTGACCGGGAAGTGGGGGAAAACATACGGGTGATCCGCTCATCTCCCTGCAGAGAGCGGTCACTGTTAGTCACACCTCCCATCCTTGAACGCTGACTAGGTAGGGGGCGGGCATAGCCCGCTAAATGCTGAGTTTAGGGTCACGGGAGGACATATACTATGTCCTCCTGTGACCCAAGAGAGAACTATGGAAAAAAAAGTCATCCCATAGTTCTTCTTTAAAGCTGAACTCCAGGGAAGTATAATGTAGTATAATCCTAAATGTATCATTAAATGTATTTTTAAAATGAAAGCAGTATAAGTACCTGAATTTGACTTTGTATCAGCCTCTTGCAGTGCCTTTACAGAAAAGCTGAGAAAGGGGGTGGTGGGTAGAGAAGCAGCACAATTTATCAATCAGTCGTGCTGCAATGCAAGGAGCAAGCTAATAGGAGGAGAGAGCATAGTTAGAGCAAGATGAGCTTATCATTGTGCTGCTTCTACTTTCACTGTTGATTTACAGTGTGAGGGTGAAGCAGAGACTTGTAAGTTAAAGTGCAACTGCAATCGAAAAAGATCAGATTTCTTCCTCTGCTAGACAGGTCTGTGCTGTGTGTCAGAGCTGTGTAAATCTCAGGACTGTATGGTACAGAAATACAAATTCTTTGACAAGTAAAACAGCTGCCATAAATGTATTTAATTTTTTTATTTAGCTTTAAAAAGAATGCCTCCAACACTCTGTCTCCAGTTGTGCCCCAGCATTGTCACAGTGTAACAGGGGCTTCCAATAGAGACTGCAAGTGGCTGTTACACACATAACACAGGTATTGTCCACTGTTGTCATCACCAGAAGAATTGCTGTGAGAAATGCCATGCAGCTGTCACTGGAATGCATGTATGTAGACAGAAAGTGGCTGCAACAAAGGATGGAAAAGAGGTGAAAACAAAATGGCAGTTCTTTATAATGCACGGAACTTTAGCAAACTACTTGTTCATCAGCTAGGCCTCATTCATGTGGACATGCACAGCCGTACATCATACATGTCCAAGCAGAAAACTGTACCCAGGAGGAACAGCTAGCTGTGTGCAGCCACTTTTTCAACTCAATAACAGGACGCTGCTGCATGTGGCTACACGCCAGCCCAAACTGTCAGCGTGTATGTCCAAGGGTGACTGTCTCCATCCAAGCGCATGCATCTGTATGGGTCTGCAAGTTCATGTCAGCGTGTAGCTGCATGCAGCTGTGTCCTGTCACAGAGATGTTCAGGCAGCTGCATGCAGCTACATGCAGCACCTGTCCCTCTTGGGCGCAGGTTTCTGCATGGACATGCATGCTGCACGATTGTACATGTCCATGTGTATGAAGCCTTAGGGTTTATATCTTCATGTTCTAAGTCCAACAGTGGAACCTATAGACCTATAGACCAGCCATCCTTATTAATATATCAATCAATGAAAGTAATAAATTATACCTGAAATACACAAAAACAGATGCCAAAATATATCTGCAAAATGTGAAAATAGACGGAATATTTTATTAATAATAATGTTAAATATGCATAAAATATATAACTGTATCAGACACTACAATACAATGTCAGTGATTGAATCCAGATTTAACACAGACCAACACTGTCACTAATTCTAGGTTAATCACATTTCCGATCCGCAGACGCAGCACAAATGAGGGTGTTGAGTGCTAATGTGTGAGCTGGGCTGTGTGTAGAGGAATGAAGGCCATCTCTAATGAGGGCTGCGATTCGTCAGGGTGCATGGACAGATTGTTAGTATTGTGAATGTTCTCCAGACAACGTCCTTGCAGGGTTTGCACCCTGTATCTTTTCAGCACAGTCACCAGTATTGCTTTCATCATCACCATGGCTATGTATTTCCCAGCACAGGCACGGGGACCGAAACCAAACGGCTGAAAGTAGCGATGTGGAACCTGCAAATGGCAGGAAAAACATGTTTAGAATTAGAATAGTATTCTGTCTCCTTTGTGGAAAGGTGATGAGTTCAGCAGCAACGCTAGTCAGTGCTCTGCATGCTTATGTGATTGATGAAAAATAGAAATGCTTGTTTCCTGGCTGTTTCTAGTTTTAATAAGATCTGAAACAAGTATGCAGATCAGGAGTTCTCACTTCCATTCAACTTAATTTGCTGCCTACTTTCGCAGGTCAGTGAATGGAAAAAAGTACTGACGGTATTACAACCCCAATTCCACAAAAGTTGGGACGCTGTGTAAAATCTACATAAAAACAGAATGCGATGATTTCCAAATGTCATAAACCCAGATTTTATTTACAATAGAAAACATAATAAATGTTTAAACTGAGAACATTTTATGAAAAACATAAGGCAAAGTAAGTGGTACCCACAAGGAACTGCAAGACAAATATTTAGCAACTAATTAGGTTAATTGGCAACAGGTCATTAACATGATTAGGTATAAAAAGAGCATCATAGAGAGTGAGAGTGTCTCAGAAGTAAAGATGGGCAGAGGTTCACCAATCTGTGAAAAGCTGCGTCTAAAAATGATCGAGCAATTTCACAATAATGTTACTCAATTTTAAAATGTCAGCGTTTAAATATATCATCATCTACAGTATATAATATCATCCAAAAATCCAGAGAATCTGGAGAAATCTCGGCGCGCAATGGACAAGGCTGAAACACAATATGGATGCCGTGATCTTCGGGCCCTCGGACCGCACTGCATTAAAAACAGGCATGATTTGCCTTGTCATCGGTGGTGACAGTTCACATCACTGCGTCTCGGTGGTGTGTGCGCTTAAAAAAATATGGCATGCAGTACTTTTTTTAAGAGTACCACAGTGAGAGTGATACAACCGCATCGCACCACGGTGAGCCGATAGAACTTAATGAAATGTCACAACAAAAAAGGAAAACAGAGCAAAACTGCTCAATCAAGTGCATTGGCACTGTCCTCCAGGCACATTAGCAGCCATGAGGTAGGGTGGAGCTGCTGGTGTGAAGAAGCCCTGAATTGGCCCTGTATGCATGTGAGATAGGGACCTTAGATTGTAAGTTTCTTGAGTGCAGGATCTGATGTAAATGTGCACTATGTAAAGCACTGTGTAAATTGTCGGTGCTATCTAAATACCAGTAATAAATAATAAATGTCCAGTGCTGGAGGCTGCCATTGACCGACTAATGGCAATAGTGCTAGGTCTAGGTTGGGAACGTCAGTATTTGGAATTCTCTGACAATAGACATTTCTTGATTATAACTATCATGAACAACCTTGGAAAATCAATTTTGTCACAAAACAAATATCTTTAAATGTGTTTCCAAATGGCACATTTGCATTTTCCATTAACCATTCCATATACAGGTATATGAGCCTTCAGAAGGTATCACTATTACTTTTCTTATAACATGCAGTAAGATGCTAGGACAGCAAAAACAGGACTTATGTTGTATCTTATACCATCTATTGAGTACTCAATATCACACACCCTGGAATACAGGTGAAACTCGAATAATTAGATTATCGTGCAAAAGTAATTGCAGTAAGTGCTGCAAAAGGGGCCCAAACCAAGTACTGAGTACATATGCGTGCTTGTACTTTTCAGAGGTCCGATATTGTTCTATGTACAATCCTTGTTTTATTGATTGCATGTAATAATCTACTTTTTTGAGGTTGTGGATTTGGGGTTCTTGGGGTTTTCATGAGCTGTAAGCCATAATCATCACAATTATGACAAATCACGGCTTGAACTATCTTGCTTTGCATGTAATGAGTCTATCTCATATATTAGTTTCACCTTTTATGTTGCATTAGTGAAATAAATGAACTTTGCACGATATTCTAATTATTCGAGTTTCACCTGTAGTCTACTTGTTGATTTTTAAAAAGGAGCACCAATCATATGATACACAGGAGACAGATGGGACACTTCAATCAGAGACATGCTTGTACTGCATGAAAATACAGTGGGATGTATTTATAAAGAATTTGCAGAGCCATCCACCCTGTGAATCTCTGTGAACTTTCATACTGTGTGAACAGAGGCAAAAACAAATGTTGTTTGTATATTTTCTTTTCAGGTCAAATGTCATGCATTATGGCCACTAGATGGAGATGAGGAGCATAGGAAATAAATCTTTATCTACATCTAGTGGGCATAATATGGTATTACATTACATTTGACCTGACAAGAAAATATGCTAAGAATGTTCTTTTTGCCTCTATTTGCAGAGAATGAATGTTCACAGAGATTCACAGGGTAAATGGCTCTGCACATTGTTTATAAATAGACCCCTACATGTTGTACATGGACGTAACATGCAGAGGAGCTGTGAATACAATAGTGCGTAGCTTTGATTTGTTCTATGTGGTGTTTTATACATGATATGATAAATTAATGATTGTGGTTTATACATAGCAGGACTTGTGCACTTTATTGGCTGCTGAATTAAAATGCTGTGTAATGACTGAACTAATCAATTGTATACTAAATGTAGGGCAAACACTCGCACTAGTTGCTTAGTGTTCTGTAATCCTCCTCATTTTTGTACCATGCTCTTCATGCTGTAATGTTTAAAAGAGAACTATGGGGTAAGCTTTTTATCCCATAGTTCTCTTTAGGGTCACGGGAGGACATATACTACCACCCTCCCGTGACATAAAGCTCAGTATAATTCAAAATCCAAAAGGTCCCATCGCACTCCTGACCGGAAAAGATTTCCCCATACACAGGGCGTGTGCGGCAGTGACAGTGGAACAGTGACTAAATGGTGCAGCATTTCCATGCAACATTTCGGAAACCAAAAAGAAACCCTTCATCAGGCAAACATCAGGCAAAGCTCAGTATATAGCAAGCAATTTCCCGCGATATACTGAGAACGCCGCAGCCAGGACGGATACCAACAATGCTGTCGAGATCCACCCAGCTAGTTGATTGCCAGCAGGCTCTGCCTATCTAGAGGCAGAGACAACTGTGCCTGCCGCTACCCGTCTGTTCCTCCAATCAGCGCTAGAGGATTGGAGAGGGGAGGGGGAAATCTCTGTGGGGTGCGCTGACTGACAGTCACCGATCTCTGCAGGAAGATGATCGGTAAGTGAGGGGATCGGTGGTATGTGTTCACTCACTTCCCGATCCATAGAGCCAACGTGTGACAGTTTCAATGTCACACTTCGGTTCTAACTATGAGGCTGAGTGTAAATCACTCACCTCATAGTTCTCCTTTAATGCTTATATTCATGCTATGCATATCTATACAGTGTCTCCCTATCATAGCTGCACCTTCCATCATTTAACTTTACAGGCACTATTGCTTGTGAATTAAAACTGAATATTGTCTGAAGAATCAAGAGTATTTTTAGTTAAATCTTGGTGTGTTTTGTGTCTTTTTTCCAGATCTGTGCAGTTATCAAGCATAAAACTTTGCCTCCATGCAGGAGCTTCCTTTAATAAAGACCAGTCACTACTGCTCTCTTGTGCAAGGTGACTGGTCTTGTATCCGCCCTCTTCAGTTGTTTTCTACATGCAGCCTGTAGTGGGTGGGGCCTGCTGAGTGTCTCCCACAGCTCTGCTCCCTGCACAGGATAAGTGTAGCCCAGTGATTACTACTACAATTACAAGATAATATCTAGGTTCGCAAAACAATTTGGTGCACATAGATTGGATTTATATCTTTTGTAGCTATTGAACAATATATTTAATTAATGTTCTTGGAGTTCAGCTTTAAATCTCAAATCTCATGTAAAATTACTTTGGGGAAGAAAAGTGCAATAGCAACCAGATTACTTGAATATTGTCATCAGTATATCACAATATCTTTCAATGTGACATACAGTATGAAGTGATTGGGATTCTTCTTCCATAAAAAATAAAACTCCAAATGTAATTTGTCTATCATCTGTGGTAATTAAAAAGCAATTAACTGATAAATGAAATGGCCTTTTATAGGAATGTGCATCCATGCACACATTTATAATAAGGTAGCTGGATATTAATGAAGGGTTTATCATTAAGATGAATAGAACACAAGCTACCTAATGTGAAGACACCGATAAGAATCAGCTTCAAAAGTTAAAGCGCAGAAAAGTACAGGAGAGATTGTTCATTGGAAGGAGGTTTTTCTACAGTGCCTGTACAGTGGCAATCATAGACCAAAAAGGTCATTTTCTCAAAGTATTTAGTGAATTAAGAACTAAGGCCCCTTTCACACGGGCGGTCTGATCAGGTCCACCTCTCGGTTTTTTTCGTGGATCTGATTGGAAGCCCAATGTTACTCTATGGGCAATTACCCCTGACTCCATCTAGGTCTACAAAACAATACAGAACAGATTTCCATTTTGGCAGCTCTGATTGTGACAGATTGGAGGTAATCAGATGTAATAAGGCACATGTATATCAGACTCCCCATAGAATAACATGGGTCTGGTATGTCACCAGACCCTTGTTATAAGAGTGACATCCGTTCCATACTGCTTCAATCAGCAGGGGATCTGTGCATGGATCCCCTGCTGATCTGAACTGACAGCCCACGTGGGGGAGGGGCCTAAAGCAGAACTAAACTAAAAAGAATGCTAGGTCCTTCGGCTAGCTGATCCTTCGGCTAGCTTCGGCCCCAGGACCCCTTCGGTTCTGAGCCGAGGTGAAAGGCGAAGCTGGCCGAGCGGCCGGCCATTGGCCGGTCGACAGCCTGCTTCTGACAGCTGGGCGGAGCCAGCCATGATATCACGGCCGGCTCCTGCCACTTGCAGAGAGATCAGCGTCCCTAGTTACCAGGTAACCAGGGACACTGATCTCCAGACAGCCCAACTCTCCCGGGCGAGCCGAGAGTCTCCCGGTATTAGATAGCGGCTTCCGGCCGCCCGGGAGAGAAACACTTTCTCCCAGAAAGGTTTACTCTGCTCGATCGAGCAGAGTAAACCTTTCCCTGCTTTCTTTTTTTTATTTTTTATTCTGACAT